CCCTTGACTAAATGGGATAAATTACTGCTGCTTTAGATGAGAGATCAGTTATGATATGAATGTTTCTAAAAATTAAATATGAATAGAAATTATTAGTTTATGTGTCTGAATGGAGGAATGAATATTATAATATTTTTAATATGAATACTGATAAGATCAGGCTGAAGAGTCAGTCCTAATGGACTGCATTTTGATAAGTGCTTATTTAGTCCAAGGCAGAAGTAAAAGCTGGTTATCATAAACCATACTTCTCAGGAATCCTGGGACTTCCTTTAAAAATGAAGGCAGCCGGAATAGAGCCAGCTGATTGTAATCTGTAGCTTGGGTGACCCATGTCTGGCTCTCTATCTTTCAAAAAGTAGAAAGTTAGTGTGTTTTCTTAAAAAGACTTGTGAGCCCTGGCCAGTTTGGCTCAGCAGTTAGAGCATCAGTCTGTGGACCATAGTCTTGGATTTGATTCTGGTCAAGGGCATGTACTGGCCCTGGTCAGGGTCCTACGGGAGGCAACCACGTTTCTCTCTCTCCCCGTCTCCCCTTCTCTCCCTCTCCCTCCCTCCCACTCTATCTGAGATAAATGGAAAAAATATCCTCGGGTGAGGATTTTTTTTTTTTTTAAAGGCTTGTAAAATGATAGATGTTTTTATTAACAATTCTGGGGGAAATGTTTATTATGATAGATTTTTCCAAAGATGAGCATCTTCATTTTTTGTTTAGGCCTTTTCTGCCAACATATTTATCTTGAAATAAGATTTTGTGCACATCTGTATGTTTGAGAGATATTTCTTTGGGGAGGACCCTGTTGGTAGTAATCGCTCTGTTAGCCCCTTTCAGGAGGAATGTGTCAATGCTTTAACATCCTGACCGTCAAAGGTTGCTATCTTTACCCGAAACTGGGCTGCATACTTTCCCTTTTCTGCACTTCTGTGTTACAGATGTGACTCAGCACATCTGTAAAATGGATCAAAAGTATGTTAATGCAAGAAGACAGTAGACACAGGAAGGAAGAACCAATAATTGAGGATTCTTTTATTTGTTTGGAACAAATATCTAGGCAGAGCCACTTATTGAGAGCTTGAAAAACTGCAAGTAGTGAGAAAAGGTATAAAATCTCTTCCTGGAACATATGAAACACCTGGTTATGAAACATGTCTGCAATATTTAAGTCCTGAAGCACTTCTGAACATTACTTAAAGCAAGTAAAACTTGTACTCTTTTTTTTTAAGGTTTTGTTGTGTGATAGGAACACTTAGCCGCTAATTTTTCTGAGAGTACAGTGTAGTGAGGACATGGTAGGAGAAGCCCCCAGTTCACTATGTGTGGGTATCTGAACAGCCTGGGGCTACTTCCTGTGGTTGAGCTACTTGAAAACAAGCATATTGCCTCTGTGAAGTATCAGGCAGCTCAGCCACAGAAACGTCAGAAACACTTAGAGACCATCTTGCTGGCCTTAAACTTGTGAAAAAAGAAAGCTTTGAGGAGAAGGTGGCATCTCTGAGGGTATATGTTTTGATGCAGAGGCATGGGGAGCTTGTGCCATCATGAAGTTAAGACAGTCGGTATTCATTTTATCTGTTAACAGAGGTAGCATTTTGGATAGGCCCAGGTTTGAAATCCAGCAACTTGGGCAAGTTACTTAACCTCTTTCTGCCTCTCTTTCCCATATGCAAAATGGAGATAGTAATGGTACCTACTTCATTGGTTGCAGTGAAATTAAGTGTCTCTGTAAACTGTTGATGAGTGCCTGGCTTATAGTAAGTGCTCAGTATAAACTGTTTCTGCTGCCATTACTGTTAATATTTTTAGTGTAACTAATCTTATTAACTCTTCCCTGCTCTGGGAGCATGTTTAATTTGTAAAACTTCCACTCTCCTTGTTTTTCCTTCTTACTTTGCTTACTTTTCAGCATTTTCTACTACTGTTTTAATAACCCACCCACCCAAGGATAAAGAGAAGAAAAGAAAAAGGTTTCAGACTTGTCATGTTTTATTAAATATGTCAAACATATGCAAAAGTAGAAAGGACATATTTATAGGAAAGTGCTATTTTTAAAGATTAAAAAAGTAAAATGTCATTTGAAGCATGGAAAATAGAAATTACAAGCTTATTGCCTTGACATAACTTTTTAAATATTCTGTGGATACATACTGTACATAGTTGTAATTCTAGAGAACATACCATTTTATGGATTTTTCACCACCCAGCATTAGAGCATAAGCATTTTTCTCTGTCCCTTAGCCTTGACGAACAATTATCAATGGTTTATACAATGGGTAATTATTGTTTTGTTGTATATGTTGCTTCCTTTTTAAGAAAATTATAAGTAAAATGGCAGTGAAAATCTGCAGATGGTTGGGGCTTATCTTGGTAGATTTTTTTTTTTAATCCTTATTAGAGGATGCTTTTCCATTTATCTTCAGATAGAGTAGGAGGGAGGGAGGGGGAGAGAGACACACATCAGTCGGTTGCCTCCTGCACAACCCCGACCAGGGCCAGGGGTCAATCCGCAATCAAGGTACGTGCCCTTGACTAGAATCGAACCTGTGACTCTTTGGTCCGTGGGCCGTCACTCCAGCTGCTGAGCCAAACCAGCCAAGGCAAGGAAGTTTTTTTTTCTTTTCTTTTTTTTAATTAGGAATTTGCATTTTTTTCCCTGATATATAGGAATCTTACTATACTTCGGTTCCTTGGAAAGTTAGCTTTATGAAGGTGAAGTAGCCCCAGTCTGTGTAATAATACCAAGTTTGTAACTTGCAGTAAAAGGTAAACCTGCTGTGTGTCAATGTCTACATGAGAACAGGACTGTGCTGGCTGTCATGGGACTCTCCATACATTGCTTTCTAGACCTGAGCTGTTCAATACGGTATCTACTAGCCACTTGTAGTTATTTCAATTAATGAGAATTACATAAAATGAAATGTCCAGTTCCCCACAGTCAAACTAGTCATATTTCATGTGTTCAATAGCCACATGTGGCTAGTGGCTACCATATTGGACAGTACAGCTACACTGTTATCATTGCAGCAAGTTCTATTGAATAGTGCAGTGCTAGCTTATTCTCTAACTGCTCACTTCCTTAACTTTATGGTGACAAGGAAGAGCTACCTCCTGTTTGTAAGGTTTTCTAGAGCAGAGGTCGGCAAACTTTGGCTACCTGTTTTTTGTTTTTTTTGGCTACCTGGTTTTTACATAAAGTTTGGAACACAACTGCACCTGTTTGTTTACCTATTATATATTGCTGCTTTTGTGCTACAACAGCAGAACTGAGTATGGAGTAGTTATGACAAACCATATGTGGCCCATGAGCCTACAGTATTCACTCTCCCTTTATAAAAAGATTGCTAATCCTTTATCTAGACCACAGTTTCTCAACCTCAGCACTATTGACATTTTGTTCCATATAGTTATTTGTTGTGAGGAATGTCCTGTGTGTTGTAGGATGTTTAGCAGCATCTCTGGCCTCTGTCCACTAGATAGTAATAGCACCACTGCCCCCTCTCACACCCAGATGTGACAACCAAAAATTTCTTCAGACATTGCCAGACATCCTCTGGGAAGCACCATCACCCCTGGCTGTGAGAACCACTAATCTAAAGTGATGCAACTTGATAAAACATCCATTTATAATACTTCTTTAAAAATACATATAAAGAGCAGAATAAATTAAAAGTAGTTTTTATGCCTGGCTGGTGTGGCTTAGTGGTTGAGTGTTGACCCATGTACTAGGAGGTCACCAGACCAATTCCTGGTCAGGGCACATGCCCAGGTTGTGGGCCTGATCCCCAGTAAGGGGCATGCTCTCTCTCATTGGTGTTTCTATCTCTCTCTCCCTCTCCCTTTCTCTCTCTCTAAAAAAATCAATAAAGAAAAAGAAAAAATATTTTTTAAAAGTAGTTTTTATGCTGTATTAGCACTCCCTCCTAAAGAGAAATGTTTCCTTTAACATGATAGAATAACCAGAGTAGGGCAGAGAAATGGAAGCACTGAAGTTCTCACTGTCTGGTAACTGGGGAACAAAGTTACATCATCTATGAAGTTAATGGGGACATGTGGTTTATTTTACAGGTTTTCAGAGTCTGCTTGATGAAACACTATGTGACTGCAGGTTTTTTGTTAAATATATGTGTACGCAGCACCTTGTGCTGAATCTCGCAAGAGGGGACTTAATAAATGTTTATTAAATGAGTATTGATAAATGCAACAAATTAGTTCTTATCTCTCATTTATTATTTTAAGTTGTCCATATAAGCACTTACTCTCATTACTCAGAATAATTGAATAACTTTATTAAAAGTTAATGACAATTGAATTAAATGTCAAGACCTGTAAAATTGTGTATTTTTTTTTAAGATCAGGTGCTTGAATACTTTTCAGAATGGGGATTTTCCAAGCTGTAGAAAAGGGCCATGTTAAGAGATTAAGTACTGATTTTGTTTTTGTTTTTTTGTTTGTTGAGAGAGAGAGAGAGAGAGAGAGAGAGATGGAAACATTGATGTAAGAGAAAAATATTGATCAGCTGCCCTCTGCACGCCCCCTACTGGGGATTGAGCCCACCCACACTCCGGGCATGTGCCCTGACGGGGAATCAAACCAGGACCTGTCAGTCCATGGGACAATGCTCAAGCCCCTGAGCCACACTGGCCAAAAGTACTCATTTTGTAAGAAAGTAGAGTATTGGGGCACAAGTTTTAATTAATAAACAATATATATAGTATTTCTACATTCTCGATTTAGAAAATGGGGTGAATTAGAATTGGGAAAATTGCCTTTCAAAGTGAATATCGGGTATACCTTTTATCTGGTTCTTCAAATTAAAAATAAATTAAAAAAATGTTTAATTGGTATTGAGAAGAATATGTAACGTAGATCACATATAGTGGAGCACACTTCCTGGTTAAATATCCAGGAAGGTAAGCAGTTTGACTTTTAAACTGAATTTTAAAATGAATTTTAGGTGAACTTGTTTGTTCCGTGCATGATGTATTTCTCTTTGTTTTTTCCAGATCTTACCAATATATTTGAGTCCTTCCTGCCCCAGTTGTTGGCCTATCCCAACCCCATAGATCCTCTCAATGGTGATGCTGCAGCCATGTATCTTCACCGACCAGAAGAATACAAGCAGAAAATTAAAGGTAAGATGGCAAACAGTTTAACCTGGAGACAGAAGAACTTAAGTCTATTGGGCTTTGATCACCCTTCTTAGTTACTAATAATTTTTCTCAGGCCTAAAAAGACATAGCTGCTGGCTGGAGCAGAGCTCACTAGCCTCTGTACTTCTGAGGGTCAAAGACAACCTTTGGAAGGCTGGAAGTACTGTACTAGCATGGAAGGAGGGAAGGAGAGAAAAAGGGCAAAAGGAAAGATGAGAATGTGGGAGGCTTACCTGCTGGGTGGTAGTAGATGTAACCCTGCCAGAAATACCTGTGGGCACCTGTTCAAAAGAACCTTTACCTTGCCCTGGCTGGTTTGGCTCAGCAGTAGAGTGTCGGCCTGTGGTCCAGAGACACCCGGGTTCGGTTCCCACTAAGGGTGCATTCCTCGATTGCAGTTTGTCCCCAGCCCTGGTTGGTCGTGTGGGTGGCAGCCACTTGATGTGCCCCTTTCACGTTGATGTTTTTCTCTCTCTCTCTCTCTTCCTCTTTCTCCCTCCCACTCTATCTGAACAAAAAATGGAAGGAGAATGTCCTTGGGTGAGGATAAAAAACAAAACAAAAAAAGAACCTTTACCTTGATTTGCTTCTCCTTATAAAATTAGAAAATTGGACTTGAGAATAAAGTATTAATTGAAAGGTATAATCTCACATTTGTTTATAGACGGTAATCATCCTGGCCCTTCAGGAGGACAATTACCTCTGGGAGTTGGAAAAATAATTGCCAAATCCATCATTAGACTTTTAAAAAATTATATCATTTTACCTGTTGAATTAAAAATACCCAGCTGGCTTCTTTTCTAGCTCCCATACTGATTTGCTTTTACTTTTGGAAGTTTTCATCTACGCATATTTCTCTCCTACTGTGCCCTGGTGCTATGGGATTTTTCTAATAAAACTTGAAATGTTCTATTGAAGTTATAAATGTGTTAGCGATGGTGGCACTAGTTTCCACGTCCATTAGGATTTAGAATCCTGTTTTCCCATTCTTAAACAGTTTACATGCTAATGGGACATGAATTTCATAAAAAGGAAATAAAATTGGCAAAAGAACGATTATAGCTTCACATGGGTTTACCAGTGTTCATCGTGTTGTTCTCTTTATCTGTATATGCTTGAGAGTGTTCATAAGGAAAAGTCTGGATACATAAAGCTCTCCCAAAAAGGAAAATAATTTGTAGGCCTGTTCTTCTAAACAAATGGAAGGTGTTGGTAAATATCCAATTTTTAGCACACCTGCCCCATCTGCCTAGCAGTTTAGAAAATTATCTTCTGCAAAGCATATGCCCTTTTGAGGCTCATTGTGAGAGATGGCAGTAGACCTAATTAACGAGAGCTTGAATACATAGATCTTCACTTTAACTGTACAGGTGTAAGACCAACAGGAGCATTTGGGGCACTGGTGGAACATGGTTGGTTTCCTTCTCTTTGTTTTCTCGTCTTCTCTGGTCCCTCAATACTTTATCGAGATAAATAGAAATAAATCTACTCTTATTTATTTATTTTTTATTATTATTATTTTTTAATCCTCACCTGAGGACATTTTTCCATTTTTTGTTCAGATAGAGTGAGAGGGAGAGAGAGGAAGAGAGAGAGAGAGAGAGAGAGAAACATCAAGGTGAAAGGGACACATCTAGTGGCTGCCACCCGCATGACCAACCAGGGCCGGGGACAAACCACAACCGAGGTACGCGCCCTTCACGGGAACTGAACCCGGGTCTCTCTGGACTGCAGGCCGACGCTCTAACTGCTGAGCAAAACCGGCCAGGGCGAGATAAATCTACTCTTAATTAATTTACTTAGGTCTCAGATGCTTTGCAAATTAATTTATGCAACAGAATATCTACATAGCCAAACAACACGTATTTCAAGAAAAAGTTTCAACCAGATAAAATCTATAATGACACTGTATTAAAATTTTCTTTTCTTTCTTTCATTTTTTTTTTTTAATTCTCACCTGAGGACATTTTTGCATTCATCTTCAGATACAGCGGGAGGGAGGGAGGTGGAGGGGGTAGAGAGAGAGAGAGAGAGAGAGATCAATGGGGAGAGAGACACTGACTGGTTGCCACCCACACAACCCCAACTGGGGCCGGGAACAAACTGCAACTGAGGTATGTGCCCTTAGTGGGAAATGAATCCAGGATTCTCTGGTCCATGGGCCGACACTCTAACGGCTGAGCCAAACAGGCCAGGACAACACTGTATTAAAATTTTGACAAAGGAATCACTTAACAGTGTCTGCATCCCACAGATACCTCGGTGCCGAACCTGTTTCTGCAGTTCTTAAGTTCCTTATGCCGCAGCAGTTGAACACTAGTCCTATTTTGGTACATGTCTGCTATAGTACCCATTGCAAGAGAAACTTAGCCTACATTTTATCTTAGAATAGTAGCTCTAGTTTAGGGAGCTCTAGGTTTCTGAAATGTTGATGTTGACTATCATTTTGTCTTCCTTAGTAATCTAAGAAAATCATGGCTGTCAGACCTGAGCTCACTCCGACTTCCTACTGTACCTTTACATATATCCATCCCTATCATTTCTTCGTTCCATCTAATAGGAAATAAGAAATATCCTGTCTTATTTCTCAGATTCCCCCCACCAACCTGTGATCTCGTTCTCCCATGCTTCCCCTTCCTCCTAGCTCCTCTTCCCCCTAGACTATCAGACATTTCCCATTTCAGAAGCTTTAATCTGCTCCTATGGATTCCTCTAGAAGTCTTGCTATTTATTTCCTTTATTTTTCAACTTCTTGCTTCCTTGCCTTAAATTCCTGAGGTCTAGTTTGTTTTCCCTCCTATACTGAATCTGATCTCATTTCTTCCTAATGTTTTGGACCTTTCTCAAGACATGTTTTCATGGTCTTCTCTTCAGCTTTGATATATTTTTCCCCCCATTTTTTGTTTAGATAGAGTGGGAGGGGGGGAGAGAGAGAGAGAGAAACATGGACATGAAAGGGACACATCAAGTGGCTGCCACCCGCACGACCAACCAGGGCCAGGGACAAATTGCAACCAAGGTACATGCCCTTAGCGGACACCGAACCTGGGTCTCTCTGGACCACAGGCTGACACTCTAACCACTGTGCAAAACCGGCCAGGGCTGCAGCTTTGATATTTTACCTCTCACCTTTCTTTTTTTTTTTCTTCTTATCCTCACCCGAGGACATTTTTCCATTTTTTGTTCAGATAGAGCGGGAGGGAGAGAGAGGAAGAAGGAAGAGAGAGAGAGAGAAACATCGACGTGAAGGGACACATCGAGTGGCTGCCACCCGCACGACCAACCAGGGCCGGGGACAAACTGCAACCGAGGTACGTGCCCTTAGTGGGAACCGAACCCGGGTCTCTCTGTACCACAGGCCGACGCTCCAACCGCTGAGCCAAACCGACCAGGGCCCTCTCACCTTTCTGAAAACATTTCTCATTCCATTCCCAAATATGGTCATTCTCTTTTAAGATTTTGTCCTTTAGCTTCCTCTTCCTCCCCTACCCTTAGGGAAGCCTATTCAAACCTCAGAAGTTTAAATAATCTTCTCCAGGTAGATGATTTTTTTTATTTCTTTTTTTTTTTTTAATTTAGTAGTAGTAGTAGTATTTTTTAATCCTCACCTGTGGATTTTTTTCTTCTATTTATCTTCAGACAGGGTAGGAGGGAGGGAGAGGGAAACATCGATGTGAGAGGGACAGATCAATTGGTTGCCTTTCGCCCTGGCCGGTTTTTCTCAGCGGTTAGAGCGTCAACCTGCGGTCCTGAGAGACCCGGGTTCGGTTACCGCTAAGGGCGCGTACCTCGGTTGCAGTTTGTCCCCGGCCCTGGTTGGTCGTGCGTGTGGCGGCCACTCGATGTGTCCCTTCACATCGATGTTTCTCTCTCTCTCTGTTCCTCTCTCTCCCTCCCACTCTACCTGAACAAAAAAAAAAAACAATTGGTTGCCTTTCACATGCCCTGACCAGAGCCAGGCACAAGCCGCAACTGAGGTATATGTCTTTGACCGAATTGAACCTAAGACTCTTTGGTTTGCGGGCTGACATTCTAACTGCTGAGCAAAACCGACCAGGGCTTTTACTTTTTTTTTTTAATCTTCACCTGAGGACATTTTTACATTAATCTTCAGATAGAACTGGAGGGGGAGAGAGAGAGAAACATCGATGTGAGGGAGACACGTTGATTGGTTGCCTCCCGCACAACCCCAACCAGGACTGGGGATAAACCACAACCGAGGTATGTGCCCTTGGCCGGAATCAAACTCAAGACTCTTTGGTCCGCGGGCGGCGCTCTTGATTGCTGAGCCATACCGGCCATTACTATTTTTTAAATATTTTTCTTTATTGATTTTAGAGAGAGAGGAAGGGAGAGGGAGAGAGAGATGAGAACATCGATTGGGCATCTCCAGCATGCCCCCCTGGGGATTGGGCCCACAACCTGGGCATGTGCCCTGACTAGGAATCAGACCAGTGATCTCTTGGTATATGAGTCGATACTCAAACACTGAGCCACACTGGCTGGGCCAGGTAGATGATTTTCAAAAAATGTGTTTAGGTGTGACCTCTCTCCTTAAATTACTCAGTGGACATTTCCACACCTAACATCACACACAGGTCAGTGTATGTGCCCTTTCTTACCATGAACATTATCAGCATTCATACATACGAGTTGATGCTGTTTTATCATGTAAATATTGGACTGCCTGTAGAACAGGACACCATTGGCACTATCTGAAGATATGTCATTTCCCTGCTCAACCTTCACTGAGTGGCACCTTAGCTTGCCATTCCAGGCTCTCTGCCGCTGTGTGTGGTCTACACCTTGCCTTTATTCGTCTAAGTGCATCAGTATATGACAGGAAAATTAGGTGAGTTTCGGATACCCAACTATATTATCTTTCTTAGTTAAGGAAAGGTTCAGCACTATAGAAAAACAGAGAACTTAACCGTGTGCCCACCATTCAACTCTAGATGAACCTGTACACTTGGCCTTATTTGCTTCAAATTTTTTTTAAAGAAAGAAAACAAATGTAGTTCTTTCTCAAGGTTGTGTTTTAACATTACAGCCACTTCCTTCTCCCTCCTCCCTCTGTGCTTTTGGTGAGGCTCTGGCTTTCCCCTGGGTGGTGTCTCCTACACCGCAGTGACAGGCCCTTCAGGGGTCAGTGCAGATGTGACTCCTTCCTGGCTCTCGGGCTGGAGTCCCTTCCTCCGTTCCCTCTGATGGCACTTAGCAGCTAACCTACTGCCCTTTCTCTTCATTTCTGTCTCCTGCTCAGTAGTGACCTTGCTCTTCATTTTTCTCTCTCCTGAAAGCCCTTGTCCTAGTAAGCACTTAATATGTCTGTGTTTCCTTGAATATACTTAATTGAGAAGGCTGATACTATCAAATTACAGTGTCAGAGTGCAGTAGGAAGTGAATATTTTTATTAACATAGAAAGTAAAAAGAAGGTGTATCATCACATTTTCCCAAACCATCAAGTTTGGAGGAGGGCAGCCATAATGGTCAGCCAAAAAGGAGTTATTTCTACAAAGGAAGAAACAAGGTAGCCACCTATTAGAGACTAAAAGTAAAATTACTAGGGCTTTAATAGATATTTCTCTTCTTCTAAAGGGTAAACTGAGGTCAGTTTTTACCTACTTGGGGGCTTTTATTTTTCCCAATTCATGTCAGTATAAAATTTTGTCACTATGAATTTGTAGGACTCTAAGTCAGAAATCTGCAAACTTTTTTGTAAAGGGCCAGATTTGGCCACATATGGTCTCTGTCACATATTCTTCTCTCTTTTTTTTAAACAACCTCTTAAAAATATACAAAAATATTCTTATCTAGGTTCCTGCACTAAATTATTCAAATTTGGCAGGCCTGTTTGGCCATTTACTTCATCTTACTCTTTTATTTAGTCCTTTTAATTCCTTGGGAGGAAAAACAGCTTAAGGATATGAGGATATGTTTTTTTCCTGCTGGCATTCTGAATAGGATTCTAACTGCTTTGTCTCTTCATATTGTGTATAGGCTATTTACTTGAGAACAGTATGCACTTAGAGACTTTAAGAACAAGTTTAATTGTTTATTCAGCAGTTCTTAAAACTTTTTTCAGCCTAGGTTATAGCAGCATAAATCTTCTGGTAAATAATACATGGTAAAGTCACTCAAGCTAGCTCTGTCGCTAGGTAGCAGCTCATTCCTGAGCAGATTGAGAGACTGTTTTTACCAGCTGCTTCAGAAACCTGACAGGCAGGATCTGTTTAAGCTAAAATCTATTCCTAAAATAATAGATTTGGCTGACTATAATTATATAACTGCAGATCTAAAAATGATGGAGGATTTCCTTATAAATTACTGTGGAATCACAACTAGTCCAGCTATCTGGGAATTTAATTTTTTATTAATAGAGAAAATTAAAAGAAAGTGCAGGATCACATTTTCCCAAACCATCAAGTTTGGAGGAGGGCATCCTTCCTGGTCAGCCAATAAGGAAAGTTAGAGAACTGGAGGACTGGGGGCCGTTTACCACAAGCCATCGTCCTGGACGTCTGCTGACCTTCCTGTGCCTTGCAGCCGGGGCCCAGGATGGTTGGCTGCCTTTAGATATGCATCTGGGAAGTGATGAGCCATGGGAGTTCTGGAATGGTGACACGATGTATTTATTCTCCTACAAGTCACATGTCCTGCTTTGCCTCTCTTATTAATGGGGCAAAATGCATAAACTCTAAGGTTTCCCCTTAGCTTTCGTGACCACACTGTCATCTTTGTTACCCTCTGGCATGTAAGGAGAGCTTGAACTTTCCTGGGACTTGCCAACTTTGGGGTCGCTGAAGCACATGCCTGCCTGCTCACTGCCCTTGTGTTTTCTTTATCCCATCCCCTGTGCAGAGTACATCCAGAAATATGCAACGGAGGAAGCACTGAAAGAGCAGGAAGAGGGCACCGGTGACAGCTCGTCGGAGAGTTCTATGTCTGACTTTTCGGAAGATGAGGCCCAGGATATGGAGTTGTAGTAGAAAAAGCACCTGCTTTTCAGAAAGACTATTATTTCTTAACCATGAGAAGCAGACTATAATATTCATATTTAAACAAAGCAATTTTTTTTATTACTAAACAAGGTTTTTATGAATAATAGCATTGATATATATATATTATATATCACCCTTTAGATCTTGATTTCTTGGTCATTTCTCAACCTGAGGTGCATAGCATATTCCCACATTCCATTTTGGTAGCAATATGCGATCTGAATGCATGCATTCATAAGTCCATTTGGCCAAGTCAGCCTGTGTGCTACTGAACTGTCAAAAGAAATAGCCGCTCTGATAGATAGACATGAGTAAAAATAACAGGAAAAAGTTGCTTCTTTTATTGATGGTTCCAAAGAAACAAACCAAACCAACCAGCTCTTGGACGTGAAGATAGAATAGTGCTTTTTCAAAATGGAAAGGAAAAAATTGGGGAGGAAAAGGCCTGCTGTGGGAGCATTTAGAGCCAGCCACGTCAGAATCAGAGCGCTCCCTCCTGTGATTCCAGGTGGCCTCGTTTCTGTGGAGTAACAGTGTAAACAGGGAGCTAATTGGAGTATTGAAACTTAAACCAATTTTTGACTCGGATTTTAAGTACATTTTTATATGTAGATTCCTGCCCTTCTGGCTACTCAGCCCTGCAGCCACGAGTGTATTGCTTTGGAGAACCTTTGGAAGTTTTCTGAACCTGATTCTTTCTCATGGGGTAGAGCTTATTGTAATCCAGACCTTTTTTGAGGGGACAGGACAGGAAGAGAGAAGTGACTGGGAAGATGTTTCCTCTCATCCAACACGTGCAGAGTCACATCCTCATCCTGTTGTTGGCCACTTGGAGACCACTATCCTGGACTAAGCTTTAAATTGAGGGTGGCTGTGGGTTATTTTTGTTTTGGGGGTTTGGGTTTTTTGGTGTGTGTGTGAATTGTGCTTAGGTTACAAATTTAATCTTCACCTGCCAAGAGATGGCCTCCTCCTTGGACAGCCGCTCAGTGGACCATTAGACTTGGGAAGAAGACCCTTCCGATGGCTGTGACTCCTGGGTACTCTCATTCTTGGTTTGGTTTTGGTTTTGGTTTTCCTTCTGCTGCTGCTCTTGGCAGCGGCCTGGTCATCATCTGCTTGTGGGTGTGGAAAATGGGTATTTTAGACCCAACACACATTCTAAATTTCAAATGAGTAAAAATTGGAACAAATAAAGGTTCTTGTACCCAAAGTGACTCTTCATGGGGAAAACAAATACAGTTTTTTTCAGAGTGTGACTGAATAGAGGAAAGGATTCAGAAATATGATGTAGTAGTAAAACAGGTTTTGAAGGAAGAAGGTCTTCTCTCCTGTAAATGTTAAGAGGAAGTCAGATAGTTTAAAATGCCTGCTAATGAAATGTTTACTCAGCTAACCATATGTCCAGGTTGCCGACAGTTTCTTTCAAATCTGAGTGTTGCCTGCTGAATTTGGAGACACCAGACAGCACCTCTGTATTCTTTTTGTGTTGCAACCAATAGGACAAGAGCAGAACCAGCCAATCCTAAAACCCTCTGAAGACAATTTTTGAATGTCCTACTGGGAAACTTTAATTTTTCTTTCTGATGTGTGTTTTTAGTTTAGAAGTGCTATATTCCACAAGATTTGAGTCAATGAGGTTGGAAGATATCCTATCTTTTTTTATTCAAAAAGCACAATCAATTTTTTCTTTGAAAATCTATATAAAGTACAACTTGCTTTTAGCATGATTATTTTCCTAAATAAAAAAAGACAAAGAATTTACTTATTTTATGTTAATTACGGGCATGAAGCAAAAGGTTTTCTCTCTCTTTTTTTTTAAATTAAAAGTGCTGTTACGTAGGGCTGTGGTTAGTTAACCGTACTGAGTTATCTATCTAGCATTTGTGGCTTGTTGGAAGGGTAGTATTAACTATTTAACATGTAATGGTGTACTTTAACTCGTATCTAGCACGTTGTCTTCTCATTACTTTGGGGGAGGGAGGGTCTCTGCTGGCACTGTCTAACTTGCTTACCTGCTGAATTAGCAGTTTGCTTGTGCTATAACCGTTATTGTAGGTGCGACTTAGGGTAGGCTTAAAGTGCTGGGTGGTGATTTGAGTTCAAACAATAAAAAATTGTATTTTTTCAATATTGTATAAACAATAGTGTTCTAATTACCTTTCAAAAAAAATAATGTCCAGGTAATAATTGCTTTAAATCTTGTCCAAAAAAACTAGCAGAACCAAGCTTAGGGAAGGTGTGGTGAGCAGTGCCACAGCTCTGCTCCTTGACTGAATCCATGTTTTTCTAACCAAAAGACACCAGCTTGCCTGCAATCGAGGGTTCCGGCACTAGAAATCTGGTGGTGAGAATTCCCAAATGAAGACTTGTCAGGGAGGTTGCAGGGGTTAAGAAGCAGATCTGAGTGTGGCGGCGTGTGTGTGTGTGTGTGTGTGTGTGTGTGTGTGTGAGAGAGAGAGAGAGAGAGAGAGTGTTGCCTCCATGTCTGTCCCTGTGTGTCCATCCAAGTCTGTGTGATGAAGGTGTAATTAGGGCTTCTCTGTTAGTACTGGAAGCTTCTGGAATTGCTACTAAAATCACTCTATACTCTCATTCTGTGAAAGTCTGTCTCATTGGAGCACTAACCTTGGTCCCATGCATGTTTTTGGCTCTGTGTGGGTCTTTTCCACTGCAAAATTGACTTTTGATAAGTTGAACAGAATCCCTTCTTAATGCTAAGTGTTTTTTTCTCCCCTGTACCTGGAAGAGATGGGAGTAGAAGATGATACTTACAGGTGCAGAGGGAGCTAGAAGAGGCCTGGCTGTGAATCTGAGGACTCTGGGCCCCTAATAATAGATGGTAGAGTAAGGCTGAGTGAGGGGTGTTTCAACATCAACTGCTTTTCCAGATTGTCCTGTCAAACACTCAGGAAAGCGTCTGGAGCCCTCAGAAGGGCTGAACATTATTGCTTTTAAAGGTGGTGGTGGTAAGTCAGAGTTGCTTCTGGCAGTTTCCCTTCCTTTCTTAGTACTCGTAGTTGTTGAACTACTACCTTGTGGTTTACCAGCACAGGCCATTCTTTGCACCTGTTCAAATGACTGAGCACAAGCTCTTGCCAAACACCAACAAGCAAAGATGGCTGCAGCATTTAATCCACTGCTCCCCGCAGCCCCAGCCCCGAGGCATTGTGGGTTGCAGTTGGTAGCCAACCTAGACAGTGGCATTTTTGCTCTTTTAGTCCTCAATCTCATTGCCCTCCTTGAGTTTACTGTGCAGTTTTAACCAGCATTTTATACTAGTGAGATAATTACCAGAAGTTGCTACATATCCCTCCCTGAACCCAACATTTTTCTTCCACTTCAAAAGCTGTTCTAATTGCCAACTGGCTGATCTAAGCTCCTGGAGAGTGTCTCCCCTTGAAGGAATTTTTCCCCTCAAAAGGTCCCCAAAGCCCGACTTGGCCTTGGCCTGCCACTTGCTTTTTATTAAGCCTCCTGTTGGGATGGCTGGGAATCATGAGAAACATCCTCCACTGGCTTCCATGGGGCTAGTTCCTGGGAACTAGTGTTTGATTTTAAATAGCATGTGACCCTTCTGTGTTCTAGGAACTCGATTAGAAAAGTGAAAGCGGTTAACTAAAGTTAGTAAGTTTTATTTCATCAGCTTCCTAACTGGGTTCACAGCCTTGTTGACTGAAATCAAATAATTTCTGAGTGGGCACAAAGACCTGTGTTTCTTTGGACTTCTGAATCCATGTTCATATTTTCTCTGGCCACTGAACACCTTGGCAGTTCCATTAGGAACTGGTTGGAGTGGAGGCCCCTTGGGGAAGGGGGAGCTAACTCCTCAGGTGTGAAGGTTCTCCACTCACCTGAGGAAGGGCCAGGACTCTTAATTCAGCAAATACTCGTCTTGGCTGTGGCCTTGGGAAGAAATGGCCATTATTTACTGATTGTATTTGGTACATATTGTGTGATACTTGAAGAGATAAAAGGGACTTACCAGCCCTTAATTGAAATCTGAGCTTTTTATCACTTATTTTTTCTCGCCCTATCTCCTCCCTCCCACATTTTTCCTTGCCTTGTGATGATCTAGTGGGCACTTCTGTCAACAGGACAAATGCCTCCTCTGACTATAACCTCTTAATAGTTGTGTATAATGAAAACTGTAAACTTTTTTAAATAAAATGTGTATATACCTTGGCAAATGGCTGGACCTTGATGAATAAGATATTGGCCCCTGTGACTATTTAGCCTATTTTTTAAAATGTCCTTCCTGTTCATCTGGCTCCTCTGCACAGCCAGCTTTTTTCCCCCCTAAGTTCTTACAAGGCAGACTGGGTCAGCTTGGGAAGGGAGTCTAACCAAGAAGCCTTGCCTACAGAAACTTGTCCCTGTAGGATGACTGCTGGCTATAAATGAGGCTGGCTGTGAGGCTTCACCACAGCCGTAAAAAGCCACCTCTTCTGTGAAGTACTATAGCCTGAAGGACCCCAGTTACCTCCAAGTGGATCAGCAGGCATGTTTCCCACATTAGCCCAAATCTTCTAGACCCTGGTAACTAATGCTGAGCAAAGGGTAACCACTTGGCTTGGAGTTCACAGGCGGTGCAGCTTCCTGCTGGGGGCCAGTCTGCCTCAACAGGTACCCCCTTGTGCCAGGTGCCAGCCTCAACCAGGGAGAGGAGCAGTGGGTATTGCATCAGAAGTTGGCCACTGGATTATTGCTACATTTCAATTTTTTTTCTGAAGCATATGCCCTTAATGGCCACCAGATGGCGATATTGCCTAGTATGTTGGAGAATCTATTTGGACCTGGATTTTTTTGAAGAGACTTTTAGGACGAAGGGTTCCTTTGGTCATATGTCATTATTCCCCCAACTCTCCACTGTTTTCTTCTTCCTGTTCATGTCCCCCACATTCCTTTTTTCCCTCCCTGCATCCTCATGTATTCTGCAGTAGGTCCAGGGAGAGAGAGAGGCAACCTAGGAAATGTCCGGTGTGAACACCTCAAGCTGTCCTGTGGCAAGTAAACCCTCAAGCTACCCTGGCTACTTCCAGTGCTCAGAAGCAAAACCTTCAACAGGCTCTTTGCAGGTGGTCTCACTGACCCCTCAGCCAACTGTCATGGACCAGAGGACTGAGCCAGCACTGAGTTCTGGTCCCATCTTTTCCATTAACTAGCTGTAGCCTCGAGCTCTGTGGCCTCAGGTTCATCTGTTAAATAAAGTTCCCTAAACTGGTAGGTTCTGATTCTGACACTTTGTGACAACTCCATCTGGGCCCTGAAACAAGACTGTATCACAGGATATAGTATCCCGAGAGAGGAATTATATCAACCCAAGAAACACCAAGGTTTCAGGATCAGAGGTGAGTGGTTTTGGACCCTAAAAGTTTTGGGAGTTTAGAGCACCCACTTTCTAGATGAAAGGAGAATTAAGAGATCTGTGGGTCACGTGAGTAGGAATTTTATGGATCTCACACCAGGCAGCTGCTTTAAAATCTCCATGAGGAGTTCCAGTGCATTCAGTGGGGCTCGGTTCTCATCTTCCCGTAATCTCACCCCACGTCACTACCTCAGTCCCAGTCCTGCTTCTTCCCAAGTGGGTGGGTGGACCTAGGGTTTCCGAGGCATATTGCCCTGGAAATGAAAGTTGTGGGCTTGGCACCACAGAACTTGTACTCACCTTAAATCTTCTTGCCATCTCTGAAGGCTGCTCTCTACCCTGGAATGAGTTTCCGTGATACTGGGTCCCGGTATTTCCTGCTCCCCACCTAAACCAGAGCAAAGAGAATTTGGCTCACAATCCTTGGCCCTGCAGAGGCTGTGAAACACCAGACAGATGAGCAGCCTTGCTTATGAGAAAAGCTCACAGGCTCTGAGGGACTCAGATCACTGGATGAGCCCAGACTATCTGCTTTGAACCAACCCTGTTCTCCAGTGCCTTGAGTTGTAGGGTCTCTGCATCCAGAACTTCTTGGAAGGTAAGAGACACAGGAACATTAGTCCTCTTGCTCTGTGTGTGAGGTGTGTGTGCATGCGTGTGCATCTATAATGAAGGATGTTTCTTTTAATCCTCACCTGAGGATATTTTTACACTTACCTTCAGACAGTGGGAGGGAGGGGGGAAGAGAGAGAAACATCAATGTGAGAGAGACACATCAATTGGTTGCCACCCGCACGACCCCAACCAGGGCTGGAACGAACCGCAACCGAGGTTCGAACCCAGGA